TAGTGTTTTGGTGGCAGGAAGGAGGACACCCCAAATTTGAGGTACCTAGGTTATCCAGGGGGAGCAGCAAATTGGACAGCTGGAATATGCATCTAGTGCACATACAATTAGTCCAGACTGGAACTGTTTAACTGTGTCAGGCGTTTGTAGGGTTAGATGGAATCAGGTCAATGGCCAGATATAAACTGACTCTTGGGGAAGCTTATGACCTGGAGATAAGCAAAAGGCAGGAGCACAAAGAAAGTGAGAAAAACCAGAAGGAGTCAGGTGGGATGAATATTTCAGAGTGCTAGACTCTCTTTTGACTTTAGAGAGAAAATAATTTTAAGAGGAATGGAGTAGATAACAGTGTTAAAAACTGCAAAGAAGTCAATGGGAATTTAAAAACAGAGTAATTTTAGACCAAGTACTTGAGAGGAGGGGCCATCTGTGTGTTTGGTACATATTAGGTACTCAGTAAATATTAATAGAATGAGTAAATAGATATGGATTATGGGTTTTCCTTGGGGGATATATGTTCCTTAAGTTCTCTAGTTACCTTTGCTTGCGTATGTGTTTATTTATTAGATATGGATAGTTCTCTAGTTTTTGAAAGTATGGACATAAAGTTAATCTACAAGAACATGGTTGCATTTTCCAACTAAAAACAAACGGTTTTTTTTTGAATGGAAAGTTTTTCCCCTATCATTTTCAAATAATGCCTTAAACAATGGATGATGAACTAGCACACAATTTCCTATGTCATCAGAAGTATGTTCCTTTTGACCTTTACAAGTTGAATTCGAAACTTAATTTAATTTTCCAACTAAAGGCTATTAAGGCTCTGAGACAAGGATTCAGGTTGAATTCAGAATAATTTTAATGAGTTGGAAGTAGGTCAAAAAACATTTACTTCTCATTTTTAAAAAATGCTCCTGATTTATCATGAATTTTCTCCTAATATTTTCATAGCATGTCCTCTCTCAGAATTAAATCCTATTAGCTGAACAACTTCTATATTAACTGGAAAGTAGCCAAGTCTCTTTCAAGGGCCATAAAGGAATAATTGATGGATCACATTTTTGAAAAGTCACTTGAAAGAAATTTGCCTAAAATATTTTGTTAAGAGTTCCTCAAACTGCTACAAAGCTAAACATGATTTTAAAAATCTCAGCTGGTTCATATCTTCTAATCTTACATTTGACCATCATTTCTGGTAGGATAGTATTTAGTTTTATATTCTCTTTGAAGGAGAGGCATTAAAAGGAAGTTGCTTAGTAGACTGGGGAATTTCAGTTATGGTAAGCGAATTCAGAGAAAAATCTGTTTTTGAACTGTACATATATGCATATACCAATAGTTATAGTTGCATAGGGAAAGCAGATGGCATTGTTTTAAGAATGGTTTGGAGTTTCTGAGGTTATTTTCCCTAGAAACAGGCTCAAAGAGGAGTACTTATGGAAAAGCAACTAAGAAGAACTGTTTCCAAGAGAGGATGGCAAGGGTGTAGGAGATTTTGGACAGGGAATGGAGTTCAGACCATCTGCAAGGAGGTCTGAAGCATTAGTCACACCTGTGGCTTCACCTGGCTGTGTTGTCCAGCATCAGTTGTTCATTTGGTTCAGGCTGTGCTGAACTGAAGAGAGGACTGAGCATCCTGATTCTGTACTTGGCCAGAGTTGTGTGTCCAGCATCCTCAGTTCAGGGTTCTTTGTCCAATAGGGGCAAAAAAGTAGGGGTGTGGGGTGGGGGAGAGTAGTGGTTGGCCGAGTAGTGGTAAACGTAATCCATAGTGGTGAGAACAGAGCACCAAAAAATATGCTATATGTGTTTCATGCAGTTGGTATTTAGTATCTATGAAAATACGGTGATATCTAAATTTCTAATTTTAGTTCAGTACAAAAAACAACGAGGTTCTGTGTAACTAAGGGTAGCACATTTGTTGCCTCATTGCTGAGTTAAAACTGTCGCCTTATCTCTACACACAAAACCCAGGTAGAAATAAATTTGGAGATGCACTATCCGGAAGGAAATGTTCTGCACCTCTCCAGGTTTATTTCGAGAGGTTCTCTTCCTGTCCTAGCACAAACACTTCCATGTGACGTGTTTTTAGTGTAGAAATGGGAGTGTGATTCACTCAGAGAACTTCCATATCAGATTTGACAAGTGATTATGTTTTCTCATCCAGAAGAGTTTTTGAAGGTCTGCGTGAAGCTTTTCCTTTAGTTTTGTTTTGTTTCAGTTTTTTATGGTTAGTTTCTTATCTTTAGCTCGCTAAGATACTTATTGTTGCAAAGATAAAGAAGCCATATAAATGCACATGTGATGTTTTAGCTCACAGAACATCACAAAAATCTCTAAATCATTAGTTTGTGTTTACTAAGGGTGGGAGAAATGACTTGGTACAAAATTTGCTTCATCATATGCTCAAGATTAAGAGAATTAGTTGAAAAGTGTCAGCATTGTTTTTGTGCAAGAGTGATATCCTCCATGACAGTATGCTCTGAAAAGAATTTACATTTTGATGGAAGTAAGTACCATGCTAGAGATTTTAAGGTAACTGCTAACATTTGACATTTGGACAGCACTTAAATCTTGAAATATTTCTCTGTAGTAGTTTCCATTTATCTGTATAGGCTATATCCCTAAACCCAGAGGGGTTACCTGAAACCAGAGATGGATGGTATGAAACTCTACTCAGTCTGTTTTTCCTATACATCTGTACCTACAATAAATTTTAATTTATAAATGAGATACAGGAAGCAGTTAATGTGACAATAGTAATAAAACAGAACAATTATAGCAATATAGTGTAAAGTCATGTGAATGGAATCTCTCTCAGAGTATCTTGTTTTGATACAATCATGCTTCTTCCTATAATAACGTGACACGAGACAATGCCTATGTGCTGAGAGGAAGTGAAGTGAGCATCGTAGGCATCGTAACACACACTCTGATACTTCCACAACCAAACTACAACCGAGATGATTGCTGAGTAACAGATGTGTGGGTAGCATGCCAGTGTGGATGTGGGGACAAAGGAACAATTCCCAATGGGCAGGCTAGAAGGAATGGCCTGGGAATTCATGGTGACTCAGAGTGCTGTGCAATTTAAAATGAATTCTTTAGTTATGAAATTTTCCATTTAGTGTTTTTTTCTTAAATTGTAATTGACAGCCAGTGACTAAAACCATGGAAAATGAAACAGTGGGTGAAAGGGCACTACTGGACTTTGTTGCCGAGTCATGGTCCAATCTTAGTCTGGTAAAATTGCCCAAAACAAACTTTTAACTTTTAAACTCAGTGTTGACTTGCCTTTCAGTGCAGCTGGCCAGTTGCATTGCCCATGGGACACTCTTCTCCTCTCTCACCCCCATTCCTTCCTGTGCTTATCCACCATGAACACTGGGGAAGAGAAGGCTTCTCCTAGAAGCCTGAGCTTGTTTTAGCTACCAAGAGAGTTTTTGTTTCCAGATTTGTAAAGGAAGTTTAACAACACGAGGCAATAAGGGCATTTAAAACCTATAACTGTTTTTCTTAAACCCCAAAAGTTGGCAAATGATTTTACGAAAGTTATGGTGCTGGCATAAAAATAGACAGGTAGGCCGAGGGAGCAAAGGACACGGAAAGAAACCTACACCACCACAGCAAGCTGCCCCTTGACAAAGATGCCACGAACATGCACTGGAGGAAACACAAGCTCTTTAAGGAGTGGCCCTGGGAGAGCTTCCTGTCCATATTAGAAGACTGAAACTAGACCTCTATCTGACACCTTATTCAAAAGTCAATTTAGAATAGATGATCCTTTCTTTCTTTCTTTTTCTTTTTTGGTACCGGGAATCAAACATGACATTGTGCTTTCTGAGCAGGCCCTGTGCCACTGAATTATATCCCTGGCTCCTCAGCTATTCTTTTACAGAGGATTAATATTCAGAATATATAAAGAACTCAAAACAAAAAAACACTAGGGGATAAAACCCAACTAATATATGAGCAAGTGAACTGAGCAGACATTTCTCCAAGGCAGTAGAAATTGCCATTAACTGTACAAAAATATTCAATGTCTTTAGCCATCAGGGAAATGCAAATCAAAACTATCCTGAGATTTCCTCTCAGAATACAAAAACAATATATACCGAAGAGGACAGAGGGAAAAAGAACCTTTATACATCTTGCTCAGAATGTAATCAGAAGCCACTGTGGAAATCAGTATGGACGTTTCTTCTAAAATTAAAACTAGAGACACCATTTGATTCAGCTGTCTTCCCACTCATAGGTATGCCCCCAAAGGTTTTAAAGTTAGAAAACTGTAGAGACGCCTGCAGGTCCACATCTATTGTGGCATCACTCACAATAGTTAAGCTATAGAAAGAGCCTAGGTTCCAGTCAACTGATGAATGCATGCTGAAATGTTGTATAGATGCCTACTGGAATGCAATTCAGCCATAAAGAACAAAATCGTGTCATTTGAAAGACAACAGATGGAACTGGAGACTGTCATATTAAGCAGAATAAACCAGAATCAGAAAGACAATCTCACATTTCTCTCATACGTAATTCCAGAGAAGAAACATGAAAGTAGACTAGAGACTGTTAGACAAGATGAAGAAAATAGGGAGGGAGGAGAAAAGAAAAGAAAGGTGGTTAGGGAGCAGAAATGATCAAAGTTTCTCAAGTGAGTATGACTACGACAAAATGAAACCTATTATTCTGCATAACTAACATGCACTTTAAAAATACCAAAGCATGAACGAACTCTTCTTATGTTCAGAAAAAGTGGGTGCAAAGTAAGCTATTTGGGGTAGGGCAGAAGGGAGACCATTGCAGAGACATAGAAGAAGCAGAGAGAGAATATACTACTAAGTGTGAGTTATACATAGATAATTTAACTTCAAACAACCTTACGATGGATTCTTTATTTGCCCTATCGTATGTCTTTGACCCAGAGCATGGGGCCATACGCCAGAAGGAACTTGGCTCCATTTATCCCCAGTGACTCTACTTTTCTTTCTGACTTTCAGTCAGAAATCACGATTACAGAGCAAGAATTCACACGTGAAAAATAAATCATCTCAACACAGGGAGAACGCGACCAAGAGGCGGTACGGCATGTGAACATAGACAGCTCTCTCTCCAGCAGCATCCTCGGATAACTAGATTTCAATGTTTTACTTCAAAACTTTGAAATGAAAATAGTTGGTCTCTTTTCTAAAGCTATGCTGTGAGGACAGGTGAGTCATTGGACTGAGTGGACCCTCAGTTTTCCTTCTCTTTAGTCTCATTCTTCATTCCTTTTGGTCTAGGGCTTTAATATTCATCTTAAATGTCTTAATGGGTCATTCTTGGGGTATGACAGTGCCTACTTCTGTGGCCAAATTGGAGGTTGACAGCAGACAAACCGTGGTCTATTTTTAACCTATTTTTGTATCTATCAAGCCAAGAGGTCTGTCTGTATCTTCTAGAGGTCCCTAAAAACTGAAGGATGAGGTCATGCATGTGGAATAGACCTAAGAAAAAGTGCTGCATCTTGAGATTGTCCCCTGTCTCACAGGGATGTGATGGACTCAGTGAGAAAATGCATGCACTATTCTGGTTCCATGGAGCACGAGCAGCACACGCATTTGTGCTCTTGTGATTTCTGTGCTATATAGCTATAGCAGCCTATGATTTGTAATGTATTCATTCACTTCTTCATTAATTTCCATAGCAGACTTCACATGGGCAGTGATACAACACTGAAAAAACGTGTTTAAAACTATTTTCCTGGAAAAATAGCCATCCAATAACTATTGTACAATTGGACACATACCACCACTAGGCTATTATGATTTATATTTTCTTCTAGTGGGGAGGGAGATGGTAACAAAGGGAAAAATAAAAGAAAGAAGCTCAAGGTTTTTGTATTCAAATAACACCCACCTCCTATCACTCAGCATGCCGAATGCGCCTCCCAACATGCTGAAATGTCTCTTGGAGTGACTGACCAGTGGAATGGATTTGAATTTCTGTTAACTACAAAACTAAAAGTCATTTTTTCTTAATAAAATCATGGATCATAAAAATCTATTTTAAGAAACATCAGCAATCCAAATCAACTTCCTCCATGGCCAATCACATTGTGAAACACCACAAACAATGGCTGTTCACTGAATGTTTAAAGTTTGTTGTAATTAGCATGTTGCTTTCAGACACGCTCACATAAAACAATGCATACTAATTCAATTAACAAAAACATCTTGGAGGAGGTGGGGCAGCCCACACAGTCCAACAAGAGCTAAATAGGCAGACTTTGAGAAACATAACTTCTGCTCTGGTTTGGAAAGCAGGAGCTCAGTACTCTCCTTGGGTTGGGGCCATCACAAATATTGGTGTCTCAAGATTTCATTCCTTGGGAGAGAGAATAATTGGTGTAGCCTGGATCAGGCGCCTACTTTGCTGATGGTGGTGGTGATGGTGAAGGAATTCTAGGGACCAGCAAACTTTCCTATCCCAGACATACATTGAGCTAAGGTAGGACAAGTGTCCAAAGTGTCATTGCTAGTTTGAGCTCCACTTTTTAAAGGTTATACCATCTGAAAATAGTAGCAGGCTTGGTGACCAAGTCTCTGCTTGGTGACATGAGCCTTTGGTAGACACCTCCAAAACATAACATCTTTGTTTTTTACTTTATTTCTGAGTAATATAATTTATCTAATTTATTCAAGACTGTATACTAAATAAGCTTTTAATCTTTCACACTAATTTTTTGTGTCTATCTTACATGATAGTAAATAACACATAAATACTGCTCTATTTGAGCTGATCTGTTTCACTGGTCTGTTTGGTTTCATTCCAATGTCACATTGCTGTAAATTACTGTAGTTTTGCAGCATACCTTAATATTTGAAAGATTAAGTCTCTGGTTATTTTTCCTTTTTTTTTTTTTTTTCAAAATTGACCTAATAGCCAACTGGCTTTTCACATGGAAAGAAATAAAAATGTATCCTACTGTATAGGAATAAATTCCAGACAAATAATTCCAGAAATGATGAAAAGTAAAAGTTTGTTAATAATTCTATGAGAATAAATGCACAACTAGAAATTTAGTGCTTTAATAGGATATATAAATAATTGGCGCTATAGAGATTGAAAACTTGTATATGAAAAAACTTTCCATAAAGTATCAACAGGCAATGATTGGACACACACAAAAAAGATACTTTTAACCCATATGACAAAGCATTGTATTATTCAGAGATTACAAACTCAATTAGATGGATATGAAAAAATTGACAGCAAAAAAGTAAACTTAAATAGCCAACAAATGTGAAAAGATGCATCTAATTAAAGACAGTCAATCAACTGTAACCTCATGCTCACTGAACAGGGAGGATTACAGCAAGAAAGGAAGCGTGATATATATTAGTGGCAGGAATATTACAGTTTATGGCATTTTAAGAAGGAAATCTGGCAAAATGTATGAAGTTTAAAAATACATATTCTTTTCTATTCAGTATTTCTATTCTGGGACATTTCTGTTACAGAAATAAAAGTACACATCTTGCTCATAAAAATAAAAGTATGAAGTTGTATAAACTTGTGAAGGGAAAAGATCTTCAATGATGCATTGTTTATACTTGCCAAAAAGCTGTAATTTTCCTTTGAGAAGAATGTAACTGAATTAGGTTCAAACATACGTAGTATTCTACAGTCATGAGAACAGTTTAGAGCAATAGGCATATGTGTATGATAGGGTATATGATCGTGAATAGGATGTAGATAAGAAAACAGATTGTGGGTATGGATACGTGAGACTGGGGAAGACAGAGGAGAAAGATGTTCATAATAGAAAAGAAAATATGGTATGATTCCAACCGTGTAAAATTATGTATTTATAAATGTATAAATTCAAGGGTGAACAGTCACTACGTATTAAGAGTGATTGACCATCATAAAATAGTGAAATTACAGGTGAATTTATTAACATGTATTCTAATTTTTTCAGGGAACATATGTTTAAATAATCAGAAGAAATAATAAAAAGATTGTCATTGTAGAAAATAAGTATTGTCACTAAAAATAGAAGAGCAAATACAAAACAAAAAATTGATATTTATGAATATTTATGCTTCCACAGACATATTGGGTAAAATTTGGCAAGTTTGCAAAATTATACTACTAGGATCTGTATTGACATCATATTGAATATCAATAAATGTCAATGTAATTACATTGGAGAAAAATCCTGTGCAGACTGATATCTCTATATTATTATATTATGTTCTCTATAACATTATATTAAATTCATTCATTTCTACATATTATCTTTAAAGGAGCTTAGGAAGTTTCTTCTTATAGGCTTTGTTCATCTTTTATTAAGCAGTTTGTTTTCACTGTTATTATAAATACTTTATTTTCTGTTTTATTTTCTGATTTGTAATTTAGAAAAACATTTTTCACTTTTGTAAGTTTATCTTGTAACTGTGCCAAATTATTCATTAGTTCATATAATATTTTTATTATTTGAAATGTTTCATTTTAAAAGACCAAATTTTATGCTTATTAACATACAATTTATTATCTATTTTAATTATGGCATTAAAGGGTATTAAATATACAGTACTGTATAATCATAACTATAATCCAGAACTGTTTTCATCTTGCAAAACTGAAACTCTTTGCCTGTGATACAGTAATTACCTATTTATTTTCTTTTTCTCTAAACTCTGGCAACCATCATCCCAGTTTCTGGCTGTAAATTTGTCTGTGCTAGGTATCACATATAAGAGGGGAATGCACTATTCAACATTTTGTATTTACCATTGCTCACGTCTAAAAAATGCCTTTAAATTTCATCTGTAGTGTAACATGAGTTATATTTTCTTTTTAAGTCCTAATAATATTTCATTGTGCAATAGTTAATCTGGATTGTCAACTTGATTGGCTTAAGAATTGCCTAGGGGTTTAGTAAAACACACTTTTGAGTGTGCCCATGTGGCTCACAGAAGCAAGATTTGGGACTTTATATCTGGTTCCTGGTTCCTTCCTTTCAGGTGCTCTTCTTCTACCCTGCTTCCTAGCCACCATGAAAGTGAACTTTGCTCTACCATACCTTTTCAGTATGTATGCTATTTCTGCCTTGAAGCCATCCAGTTGTGGATTGCACTCTTGAAATCATGAATCAAATAAACCAATTCATCTATTAAGTTGTGAGTGTTGGGTATTTTCTCCTGCAACAGGAAAGCTAATAAACATTGTATTTATATACCACATTCTCTGTTGCTTCATCTGTTGATAAATACTTGAGTTGTTTCAAAGAGAATAAAACTGAAAGAAATAAAACAGAGTAGCGTCAATGGAAACAAACAGGTGGAGGTGATACAAGACTTCAAAACAAGATAAAAGGAAATCAAGAATGGATACTATAATGCCTATTGCTATCTTCAAAATAACTGCCCACACCATCAAACAAAACAGAACAGAATAAAACCAATCAAAACAAAACAATGAAAGCAACACAGGACTTCCAAACAAGACAATAGGGATACAACAGTGGTTACTATAATGCATCTTGTTATCTTCAAAGCAGCTACTTATACTATGAGACACAATAAAATAAAAAATAGAATAAAATCAAAAGAAAACAAATAAAGCAATAGGGGGCTTTGAAACAAGATAATAGGAAGTCAGTAATGGCTGCCATAATACATTTTGTTATTTTTGAAATAGCTGTCCATGCCATCAGATATAACAAAATCAAAACAAAACAATAAAACTAAACTAAAAAGAACAATGAAAAAGATACAGAGTTTCAAAACAGGACAATAGATTAACAATGGCCACTGCCTTCTCTTTTTAGATATCCTCCCCTTTCACTTTCACAATATCTATTGTGTGTATTGTGCTTGTTATTGTGAATGATGTTATAATGAATGTGAGTACACATATATCTGTCCAAGACTCTGCTTTCGATTCTTACATGTATCTAAACAGAGGTAGATTTGATGGATTGTAAGGTAACTAACTCTGTGTCAATTTTTGAGAACCTGCCACACTATTTCCCACAGTAGCTGCATTGAATTTGCATTCCTACCAGCAGTGTACAGGGGTTGACATGTCTCCACATCCTTATCAACATTTGTCTTCAGTTTTTGTTTTATTTTTTTGACAGTACCCATCACACTATGTGAGGTAAATTGGTATCTCATTATAGTTTTGGTTTACATTTCCCAGTGATTCCTGAGGTCTAACATCTTTTCACGTGCTTATTGGCCAATTGTATATGTCTTTGAATCAGGTTGCTTTTTTTGTCATTGAATTTTAGAGTTCTCTTTACATATTTTGGATATGAATCCTTCATCAGATAAGATTTACAATTTTTTAAACCACTCTTTCCGTTGCCTCTTTTCTTCATATGATTTGCAAATACATACTTTCTAAAGGCTACCTTATTCCTTTGATGATAATGTCTTTTGATGCACAAACATTTTAAATTTTCCTGAAATCCAGTATTTCTCTTTTTCTTTGGCTGTCTTTTATGTTAATACTTTGCTCTGCTTTCCTGAGTTTTACCCTAATGTCTTGTTCCCAACCAAGGGATTTACTCACACTTTGGTTTTGTTACCTCACTTGGTTGTGACAGTCTTTATAGGCTTTCATTACTTCCAGTGATCCTGGAATTTTAAGGCATTTTAAAGTATATGGCCTAGGAATTTTGTAGAGAGTCATTCAGTTGAGATGTGTCTGATAGCTCTCATGATTAGATTGGAAATGTCTTACTGGGAGAAATACCACAGAAATAAAGGACTATTATTATCACATTATCAAGGGTATCTATTCTGAAAACAGCTTATCAATATTGATGTTAACTCGGTCAACTTGTTTGTCAAGTTTGGCCACCATCAGGTTACCCCTTTTATCTTCCTTTTCCGTATTATGCTTCTTGGAAGAAGTCATTCACAACCCAAGGTTAAAGAGCGGAGAGAGATGACCCACTTCTTCAGTGGTACAGTATCAATATTAATCATTTGAAATTCTGCATGGGACACTTGCCTCATCTCCATTTAGTCATTAAATTGTCAGCTTAAATCAGAATGGATTTTGCGATACTTCTATTTTAGGTCATAAGCCAATATCATTTAAATTATTTTATTGCTAAAATTATTCTAATTTTGGTTATTTTGAAACTTTTAAACATCAGTTTGGCATTTTAACACATGCCATCCTTGGAGGTTTCTTAATCTCTCTCTTTCTCCTCCCTCTCCTATCTTCCCCTTCTCTTCCCTCACCATTACATCTCTTCCCTTCTTCTTTGAGCACTTTCTTAATGTCCAGTGTTCCAAGATACCCCAGGGTTATTTTATGTGTTTACTGGTATAGCTCTAGATCTAACTATTTTTTTTAAAGGAGCCCAGTTCTTTTTACTGGAGAATCAAGATTCGGATGCTAGGATGTTGTGTTCTGATGGCATGTGAAAAGATGTTAGACCTCAGGAATCACTAGGAAATGTAAACCAAAACTATAATGAGATACCGATTTACCTCACACATAGTGTGATGGCTACTGTCAAAAAATGAAACAAAAACTCTTAGCAGACAGAGCAAGAAATATATGTGTGTACACACACCTATGAAATATTTCTGTGTGTAATCTTCTGTTTCTATATTAAGCTAAGGTTGTGTCCAATTCTAAACCAACACATGGGTCATTCTAGAATGTGTTCCTTGCTTATAAGTACACCTTACTTTAATAAATGATGAATTTGGCTACCATCATTTGGCATGATTTACAAGCTTTACAATGCTTGTCTATTGTCTAAAAGATAGTTTACTGGGATAGTTTTCCAGGGTTGCATTAAATGTATTTTTATTAAGATTTGATTTAAGAAAAAATCAGTGTTTTGTATTTTCTTTATATACATGTTGCATATATTTTATTGGAGTCATAGCTATGTACTTTAATTTATTGGGTGGATATATATTCAAATTTCAGGTACCAGTTATTCATTCCTAGTATATAGATAAACGATTGATATTTGTATCAACTTCATTTCTTGTGACTTTGTTTTACTGCTTATTAGTTCATGAAGGATTTTGTGGTCAATTTTGGGGATTTCTGTATAGATGACCATTTTATCTGTGAATAGAGATTTTATTTCCTTTCCAGTCCATATGTCTTTTTAATCCTTTTTTTGTCTTACTATAACTAGGAATTCTGGGACAGTATTGAGTAGGAGTGGAAAGAAACAATCTTTAGTTTGTTCCTAATCTTATAGAAGTATTCCTTTCAACATTGCTAAAGGAGGTATTAGGAATAGCCTTTTTAAAATAGATATTCTTTATTAAGTTGAGGGTTTGCCTTATTAGTTTGCTGAGATATATCTAAAATCATAAGTAGGTATGGGGTTCTCTGAAATGATATTTCTACAGCAGTTGATATGATTATTTTATTTCTTAATCATGCTGATGTAGTTGATTACACAGACTCATTTTTAAATGTCGGACCAGTCTTGCATAATTGGAATAAGTCCCAATGAGTTGTGGTATAATTTTCTTTACTTATTATTGAATTCCACTTGAAAATGTTTTGCCAAGAGTTTTACATTTGTATTTATGACAAATATTAGTGTATCATTTGCCTTTCTTATAGTGGCTGTATGTGGCTTTCATAGTTGGGAAATCCTGACTTCCCAAAATGATTCAGACAATAAGTTTCTGTTTACTGAAAGAGACTGTGAAGAGATGGCACTTCTTTCACAAATGGTAAAATTTATCAGTGAAACTATGTAGACCAAATATTTCCTGGTTTGAAAGAGTATCAGTTACTGTTATTATTATATAAAGACCTATCTAGGAATTTCTTTCTGTGCATGTTCTAATTATCCTTTTCTTTGCAAAGCTAGATTAATTTTATCTAAGTCACCAAATTTGTTACCATAGGGTTATTTATAGTATTTCTTTATTATTATCGTGACATCCAAGGGATCAGTAATGATGATCACTCTTTCACTTTTGATACTGGTAATCTGAGTCTTCTCTTTTTATATTCCTGGGTTAGCATGGCTGGGGCTCATTTCATCAGTCTTTTCAAAGAACCAGCTTTTGGTTTCATTACTTTGTTCCAATTGTTTTCTTAGTGAATTGTTGCTCAATTTCATAGATCCGTGCTTCAATTTTAATAATCTTTTTTCTATTTCTTGCTATAAGTTTAAAGCCTCATTTTTAAGTTTCCTGTGGTTGAGAATGAGGGTTCTAATTTTAAATCTTTCTTCATTTTTGTAGCATGTGCATCAGATGCTGTAACTTCTTCTCCAAACGTCGCTTTCACTGCATCCCACAAAGTTTTAGTGTTGCATTTTATTTTTATTTAGCTAAAATATTTAACACTTGCCTTTTATTCATGTGCTGCTGTAAGTTATAGCTTTATATTTCCAAATATTAGTGGATTTTCACATTTATAAAATTATCTCCATGGTAGTCTGAGGACATACTTTGATTCCTAATCTTGTAACTTTGGCAAAGTGTGTTTTTTAGGGTCCAGAGTGTGGCTTAACTTGGGGAGTCTGAAAAAGGAGATTCTGTTTTGTTGAACAGAGTGATGTGCAAATGTCCACTAGATCAAATGATTGATAGTGCTGTTCAGGTCAACTGCACCTTCATTGATTTCTGCCTGCTTCTTCTATCAATTTGTGAGGAGGGGATGTTAAAAACCGCAACAATAGTTTTAGATTTGTCTATTTCTGTTTTCTGTCCTATCAGTTTTTGTCTTACGTATTTTGTATTTTAAGATTGGGGCCAGGGATTTAGCTCAGTGGTACAAGTGCCTGTCTAGGAAATTCATGGTCATGAGTTCGATTCCCGGTAGGAAAAAAAAAAAAAAAAACGCATTTAGGGTGGTAATGCTTTAGGGAATAATTTATTTTTTGTCATATACATTTATTTCCAAACTTTTTTTGTTTGGAAGTCTGCTTTGTCTGAAATTAATATAGCTACGTCAGCTTCCTTTTGACTACTATTCTTTTCCGATCTTGCTTTTAATATGGGAATCCTTATGTAATGTGGGTTTTCTAAAACAATGTATTGTTAGGTCTAGTTTCATAAAATCTCCTTATTTTTATCTTTTAATTGTGCTTAGTTCATGCATATTTAAAATGATTATTAATATAGTTGGGCTAAATCTCAATTATATTTGTAACTATCTCATGCTATTCAGTGGCTTCTTTGTTTCTTTCTCTGATACTAATTGAGCATCTTACTGAACTCCATTTATCATTTCTCAGTGTGTATTGTATGTTTTACTTTTTTGAAAGATTTGGTCTAGATTTTACAAAATACATATTCAACTACATTCATTTTGAATGAACGCAATGTTATTCTCAAATAAATTAAGATTGAGAAAAAAATGAAACATTTTATCTTGATTTCCTCTGATTTTGCATAAGAATATATTTATATTTATTTATATCCAAGTTAATTTTACTTAAATGCATTTATACATACTTATTTCTTTCGGTACTCTATTTTGTGTCTTTTGAGCATTCTACTCTGTGGTTTGGTGTCTGTTATTAACTCTAAAAAATTCTCTGTCATTATTATTTCAAATAAATTCATTCTCTTCTCTTTCTGTAATCTGATTTTGTTGTGTTTTCTCTAATTTGATCTTGTGGTCTTTTTCTATGGAGAGTGGCTGTAAACTCTAGCCCCGCCCCAGTAGGAAGCCACAGGCTTTCTTGAGGCTGTACATTCAGCATGTATAATGCAAAGTTTACCTCCATATCTTTACTGATGGCCTCATGTCTAAATGTGTGATTCACGACCAGGCATCCATCTCACAAAATCGTACTTTTAACAATCAAAGCCCTTGTAGTTCCTGTGTGACCTATGTCCAGCTTATTCCTATACAGATAGCCACTGTCTTGCTCCTCCCTGAGTGTATCCAGGATGCCCACCCCCTTAGCACTGGCCTGCAAGGTAAGTTGTCCTCTTCTTTCACAAATCTCCTCTAGTCTCACGTGTTTTCTTGAGTTGCGTCTTTTGTGCATCATTTGACCAACACACCTGGACCACACTTCTTTCCTGTCAAAATTCTCCTAGAGATATTTTCTATTTTTTTCAATTTGTTGCACTCTACATTTTTTGGTAAAGCTTCTCTTGACATATATTCAAGATCACCATCTCTTTCTTTTTCTATGTTCTGTCTATTGAGGGTCTATCAAAGAATTTTTCATTTATGTTACAATGTTGATTTCTAGCATTTAATTTAAAGTTTTAGAGTCTCCTCTCCATTCACAGCATCCATCTCTGCGATTGAATGCTTACTACTTTTTTCCATTGGAGCCATCAACATATTAATCATAGGGAATTCCTTTTTGCTAAACTCAAAATCTGTGTTATCTCTCTGTGTGGTTTTCACAATGCTTTGTGTCTTTAGACTGTGGGTTTTATTTAACCCTATTTCTGTGCTTTATATATTTCTTTCTTGTAAGGTGGACACGTAACTGGTTCTAGAAAGTGAGGCGAATAGGCCTCCAGTTACAGATTTATGCTCATCCCTCTAGGAGTTGGGCTTTGTTCAATATTTGTAGTGCCAGAAACTTCATGTTCCTCTAGTGTTCTGGCTTTTATCCTCCTTCTTGACTTTCAGTTTCCCTAAGAATTCCTCTTCGGAAGGACTATTTCTTACTGTAATCCACTACCATTCTACTGGAAACTTGATCGTTTAGGAAATTAACTTTGTTGACACATTTTAAATATGCATATTGGTAGCATTCATCCTGTGGAATTTGTACCTGTACATGACATATCTTGATTTTCCTTTTTTCTTCAATCCCTTCCCCTTCCTTCCAATGCTGCCTTATTTACAAAAGTTTGTTTCCATTTTTTCATTCTATTCTGTTATCTTTTCCCCTCCATAGTTCTCCTTCCTGTTTGAGCATTTTCTGACCATTTTAGAATATCTGTTATACATTTTGGTCTTTATTTAAACTTTTAGTTTCTCATGACAGAGAAATCCTGTAATATTTGAACATATGTCGCTGATTCACTTTAGAGAATGGGCTCAAGGTCCGTTCATTTACCTAGCAATGTCTCGAATTTATTCTTCTCTATGCAGAGTAGTACACCATTGTATAAAGCACTACATTTTAATTTTTTATTCATTTGGAGATTTGGGCTGTTTTCAAGGTTAATCTGTTACAGAACTGTGCTGCTGTAAACATGGGTGTGCATATATCTCTTTATTATGATGCTTTTAGTTCTTTCAGTATGATAATACGAAATGGAATAGCTGGGTCAAATGGAACTTCTTGTGTTAGTTTTTTGAGGAATCTCCACACTAATTTACACAATGGTTGCACTAGTCTATATTCCCACCAACAGTGGGGCACGGTTCCTTTTTTCCCCAGGCCCTCCAACATTTCTTATTAAGTTGATTTTTTAATAATAGTCATTCTTTCTAGAGTGAGATTGAATCTCAGTGGTACTTTAATTTGCATCTCTCAAATGACCAGTGACACTGAACATTTTTTCATATACATATTTGTCATTTATACTTCATCTGACAAATGTCTATTAAATTTAGATGCTCATTTTTAAAATTTGGTCTTTAAATTTGGGGGTCTGATTTTCTTGAGTTCTTTATATATTATAGATATTAGTCCTTTGTCTGAAGAACAGCAGGAAATTTTTTTCTCCCATTCTGGGATTGTCTTTTCACTTTGTTGGTGGCTTCTTTTGTTGTGCAAATATTTTTTAGTAAGATGA